TTTTTTGATAAATATAAACATAACCACATTTATAAAAAAAAAAAACAAAAAAAAAATAGTGTATTAGTATCTGAAACGTAAAAATTGTTGATCCAAATAAGCGCATATCACTAACTGCCTAGAGTTAAATAAATGATATTCGTCCGTCAACATTGACCAACAAGAAATGATAATATCTCTACCAAATCAAGTTTTTTAAGTGCTATTTCTCGTAAAATATATTTAGAACAATTTGATTGTCCAAAACAGTGCGCTAACGTAATCTGCTTTTTTCTGATGTTTTTTATTAACCAAAACCTGGAAACTAGATAGCCACCAATGTAAATTGCCCAAAAAAATCAGAAAGCTTTCGAATTCAATCCAATTTTTAAGATTGTTTTTAATCATCATAATCGTCAGATTCATCACTATCGCTATAATCTTCATATTCAAAGTCATCATAAATTTCATCTATTTTCCCACCGTAACGTATATCAAATTCGTCATCAAAAGATTCTTCATCGGATCCTTCATAATACCGATACTCATCAATATATTCGCCCCTATCAAAAATAATGTATTCAATATTATCTCTAGCTCTTTCTAGATCCCTATCAGGTATATGCTTATTCGTATTAAGGTGTAAATTTCTCAAAGTACCAGAACAATACTTCAGTATAACATCCAGATGCTTATAAGAAAAAGATTTATATAAAGCAAAGGAGAGTGTTCTCAATTCTTTAACGGCACAACTTTTCAAAAATGATTCCAATGAATTCGGTGTAAACCACCAATCCAAATGAAATATAAATGATTGAACTTTTCGTGGAAGCACTTTTCCTAGTTGTATAAGAACTTCATTTCCATCTTCAGAAGTAATTCTACGTTTACTACCCATCAATGCTGTGTATTCATCTACATAGATCATATCATCGATATAGACTTCTCGTAACTCTTTACATACTTCTAATAATTCAATAAATGTTGGAATATGACTTCGTTTGACGGTTGCATCAATTCTAGTAATTTTTGTGCAGAATTGTATGCATAGTTCAATTATCTTCACATTTGTATCAAGTCCACGGAATCCAAGTTCTCTCATTGTTTTGTTAGATCTGGATAAAACGATCCTAAT